GTTAACTCCAGGCTAGTGCTAAGCACGTGGCATACATCATCTCCCATAAACTTAAGAGGCTGGTACTTCTGCAGCCTGAGCTCAGAGAGGTTAGGGAACCTGCCCACAGTGGTCCAGCTCTTAAACGAAGAGTCTGGATTTGAACCCAGGCTTAACACTGTGTTTCATTGCCTCGGCCTATCGCTCAATGAGGTGAGGCAGCTAGACTCTGCCTAAGCCTTGTCCATCTCAGAAAGTCACGTGGCCTGTGACGTCACGGCAAGGGGCTCAGTCAGAGAGGAACTGGCTGGGGGCAGGGCACGTGGGGTGTGGAGCCCCCTCCTCGGAGAAGGCCATGTCAAGCTCTAGCTTACTGCAGGAAGGGTTCACTCCCCAGCAGTCTTCTCTCTGCTTCCAGCCTGGTTTCGGGTTTCAGGCTAGATCGTGAGCTCCCTGGTGAGCAGAGACGCAGGCGACAGTGGGATACGTCTGTGTCCCTGCCTGTGCCTGACGCTGGAGCTTGCCACAGGGTGGAGCACACAGCAGGTTTAGAGGTGAGGAAGAGGAGCTGAGGTCAAGGCGGGGGAGAAGCTGGCTAGGGGCAGAGAGAGACGGGCCCCAGCAGGTAGGACGCCGGCCAAGCTGAGCCCCACCCTCCTCCCGCTGCCACAGCTGCTGCGAGCTGGAGCGCTCTCTAGTGGCACACTCTGCGACCTGGCCTGGGGAGGTGCCGGAGGGCCTGGCCGGGGGAGGGGAGGCGGGATAGGGGGCGGCCCCCTTGGCCCCACTATCATCCTGGGGGCCCGCCATTACTCCAGGGAGTGTCCTTCCTCGGAGGGAAGCCAGCTGAATAATAGTAACAATGAGGCGCTCACAAAAAGAGTCACAAAGAGGCTGGACGAGGAAGAGGACTCTTGAGGCCATGATGGTCCATTATTAGAGTCACAGGAAAGGTGTAACAAATCCCCCAAGTGTCCTGCCCCTGCTGCCCCCCCACCGGGGGCAGGGCCGGCCTCTGCCTCTGAGCCTCCTGGAGCCAGGGAAGCCTGCAAGGAGACCCAGAGCCACAGTGTGGAAAGGGGCTCTTGAGGCCACCTAGTCATTCCTTCATTTCTCTATGCAATAAACGTTTATGGAGCCCCTACTATGTGCCAGACACTTGGACGCCGGGGATATGGAAATGAATGATGGGCAAGGTCCCTGACTTCCAGGAACTGAGGTTCCCGGCAGGAGAGGCATACAACAAAGAAACGAGGTCATTCTCATGGTCAAAGTGCTGTGAAGGCTCCACAACAGGATGACGCGCCATGTGTGAGGAGGTGATCCTCAGACCCAGTGGGCGGGGAAGGCTGAGAGGGGCATCTGTGCAGACACCTCCATGCTTAGGACACAGGACTGGGGCTGCGAGCCCGGGGGCTCAGGCAAATGTTCGCCTCTCGTACAGACCTGGGGGCAGTGAGCTCAGCATACTGCAGGAACGGAAGGAAGGCCGGTGTGGTGGGGAGAAAGAGTAAGAACAGCTTTGGTCAGGGAGGGGGCCAGGGCCACGCGTGCCTGAAGACGAGCCAGGGGTTTGGATGTGATTCCAAGGGCCCAGGTCATCAGTGGGGGGCTCTCATGAGGAAGGCATGATCCGATGGGCGTTGTTAGTAGGTCATGGCTTCTGCTTTGTGCAGAATAACGGATAAGGAGAGCGAGGTGGAAGCACAGAGGCCAGCCAGGAGGCGACTCCACATCTCCAGATAGAAAGAGAAGGCAGCTGAACCAGGGTGGGGAGGAGTCAGGTTCCGATGCATCTTAGGGGCACAGTGGACAGGACCCACTGGTGGGTTGTCCGGGAGAGAGAGGGAGAGCCCAGACTGGGGTGGGTGGACAGGGTGCCTTCCCCCTCCCACGCCACACCCCTTTCAGCCTGGGTGTGGGCCCACTGAGTGGTCTCCCTCAGATCACTTAGAGGAGGGGCAAGGGAGCCTAGACTCCACTGCCAGAGCCCCAGGGGCCAGAGGTGCTGTCAGCCTCCTGTAGCTCTTTTCCCACTCCTTCCCTCCCTTCATCTGCAGTCTCTCTCTCTCTCTCTCTGTCGTAGACACACACACACAGACACACACAGACACACACAGACACACACACACACGCGCGCGCGCGCAGTTGACTGCAGCCTTATCAGCAGGCAGCCTCCAGGGACAGAGCAGGAGGCTGACTGTGGAGTTTTCCGAGGAGGCGGCCCCTGCTGCTCCCCACTCCCTCTGCCACTCCTGCCGCCTGCACATCACCCTCGTGGCTCCTGCAGCTTTGAGCTAAGCCCCCCAGACCTGTGGTTCTCAACTGGAGGCCATTCTGTCTCTTTGCGGCATTTGGTTGTCATCACTGGGGAGGCAGCGTGACCGGCATCTGGTGGCTGGAGGCCAGGGATGCTGCTCCACATCCTGCGAGGCACAGGACAGCTCCCACAGCGAAGAATGATCTGGCCCCAAATGTAACAGTGCTGAGACTGTGACCCTGCCCTGGGCTCCACCATCAGAGCTGGAAGGGACTGTCCTCTTCCTCGAGGTCCCACTGTCACCACACTGCCATTTATCAGGTGGACGCTATGTGGCCCACTGTGCCTGCATTTTCTCTCCCTCCGTCTTCTCTGCCACACCGTGAGGTAGGTAAGATTTGCCCAAGGTCACAGGGGCAGTGAGAGGCTGAGCTGGGATTCAGACTCTAAGCCCGTAGTTTCACCGCCCCCTCTCTAGTAAAGGGATTTCACAGGGTGTGGCATTGTTATTAGCAGTGGGACACTTTGTTTCAAGTGAAATCTTACTGGGAAGTCCAAGGTGTAAGAGATAAAGTGGGACTGCCTAGGTTGAAGCAGGGTGGGAGCATATCAAAGACCTCCCATCCCCACCCCACTTCCCATGGTCCCCATGGTGCCTCCAAGGCCATCTCTCCAACCTAGGAGGGCCACCATGGAGGGCTACACAGGTTGTGCACTGCAGAACTCCAGGGGGCGCCATTCCTAGGGCTAGCAAGGCTAAGGGAGAGATTCCTGTAGCCGGGGTGGCAAATAGGTTTCAACCTGAATGGGAAGTGATGTGGATCAAGGCTGCCCCAGGGAGAGAAGCCCAAGGCGTCCTGCCCTACATACCAATCTATATGACCCGATTCATATCTAGAGTTACACGACCACACAACAACCAGACCCCACCCGCACTGATATCATTTAATGACTTTTTACATCACCTTTCCTTTGTCTAGTAAACATAAGTCACGTACCCATGCCTTATAAATTTAGCCCTACCCTCAACACATGGCAGCTCTTCACTGCCCGTGGGTCCTGTCCCCATGTTATCTCTGAATAAAAGAGCACTACCTGTAGATCTTGAGAGTCCAAGAAATCTTTCTTTCGACTCCTCTGTTCACTGAGCCCACGTCAGGAAGGTATTGCTTAGCAGACACCGTGATTAATTAATGAGTTCTGGAGCAGGAAGGCAGTATGGGAGGGGCTGTGAATGCCGTGTCCGCCTCCCCTGTCCTTAGATGGGAAACAGGAAATTGAATCTGACTAGGCGATATCTTGCCCCCTCCCCCACTCCTTGCAACTCACTGGTGACTCAGAAATGGAACTGTCGACCCTACATTGAAAAAAAAAACACAAGGGCCAGCCCTGGTGGCCTACTGGTTAAGTTTGACATGCTCTGCTTTGACGGCCCAGGTTCAGTTCCTGGGTGCAGACCTACACCACTCGTCTGTCAGTGGCCATGCTGTGCAGTGGCTCACATACAAAAAGAGGAAGATTGGCAACAGCTGTTAACTCAGGGCAAATCTTCCTCAGCAGAAAAAAAGAAAGAAAAAGAAAAGAAAAGGAAAAAACCACAAGACTTGAGGTTCATACACAGGCCAGTCCCCCAGGAAAGCCCCCTGGGATTATGGGACCAGTGGTGCCTCTTTCCCAGAGCAGTCATGTTTCCCTTTTGGGTCCTCCTGACGCTCATCTTAACCTAATACTACCTGGATTCATGTGTTTGCACAGAGAGGCACTGTCGTTGAGATTTTTACATCCCTGTTGGGGAAGGTTTGGAGCTAGAACTGGCGGAATGAGCCAGAATGGGGCTGTCCCTTCTCCAGGCCCCACCCTGGAGTGAGCTCCTTCCCCGAGGGCCTGGGCCTCTCCAGACCGTTCGTCAAGCTGTGTGACATTTTGGGTGGCTGGGCCAGGAGGACCAGCAGAAACCCTGTTAGGGGGACAGCAGGCACTGTCTGTTCTCTCTGCAGGGGGTTCCCCAGCCACCCTGGAGCCTGGGAATCTTCCAGCCGGGGATGAATCATCCTGGCCCACGTCCCCTCTGCCTTCACCCCCTCCATTGCTTCTGCCTTGACACAGCTACAGAGCAAGGCCATGTTCCAGAGCTGACGCTCTCCCTGCTCTGGAAACACAGGCTGCAGGCCTCCCTCGGGGCACGTACCACAAAGAAGGGGGCTGCACAGGGAAGTGGTAATGGCACACCCCTGGGGGACGGAGGGAGACCATCAGTGTATACCCTTTGTACCTCCTGAAATGAGTACCATCATGGACCTATGTAAGAAAAAAAAACTGAAAAGAGAAAGAATCCGGGCTGGCCCAGTGGTGTAGTGGTTAAGTTTGCACGCTCCATGTCAGTGGCCCAGGGTTGGCTAGTTTGGATCCCAGGCACGGACATATGCACCGTTCATCAAGCCATGCTGTGGCAGGCATCCCACATATAAAGTAGAGGAAGATGGGCACGGATGTTAGCTCAAGGCCAGTCTTCCTCAGCAAAAAGAGGAGGATTGGCAGTGGATGTTAGCTCAGGGCTAATTTTCCTCCAAAAAAAAAAAAAGAGGGGCCAGCCCCATGGCCGAGTGGTTAAGTTTGCTCACTCCACTTCGGCAGCCCAGGGTTTGGATCCTGGGCGAGGACATGGCACTGCTCATCAGGCCATGTTGAGGCGGCGTCCCACGTGCCACAACTAGAAGGACCCACAACTAAAATATGCAACTATGTACTGGGGGGCTTTGGGGAGAAAAAGCAGAAAAAAAAAAAGATTGGCAACAGTTGTTACTTCAGGTGCCAATCTTTAAAAACAGAGAGAAAGAATCACTTTGGGGCTTGGTACTAGAGCCCCCAGATGGGGAGGGGGCCAGGCCAGCTGCAAACACAGAGAATGGGCTATGCTATGAGGGTTCTTGTCCTGGCCTCTGAGAGATGAAACTCTGCCTCCCAGGAAATCCACCATCCATCTGTTTGCTCATTCAGGCAGCAACTACTGCTTGAGCTCCTACATTGTGCCTAGCACTGGAATGGGTGCTGGTCGAGGTCCCTGCTTCCCTGGAAGAAACAGCCCTATGGGTGGGGAGTGGGGACGGGGATGCAGAAGGACAGAAAGAAACAGGCCAACAATGCAAACTGATAAGTGCCAGGACTGGGACCAACTAAAGGGATTACCACTAAGGTGGACATGAGGGATCAGGCAAGGCTTCCTGGAGGAGGTGATGTGGAAAGGAGTTTGAAGAGTGACTCAAAGCCAGGGAGGGTTGAGAGTGCAGTGGAGGAGGGTATTCCAGGAAGGAGTCCCTGGTGAGAGGCCAGCTCAGGGACAGACAGAGTGAGGGGACTTCTTATCAGATGCAGGAGCCCTGTGGTGTTGTCTCCAGCTGCCATTGAACCCAGATGTCTTTCAGCAGAACTCGGGCACACCTGCCTCGTCTGGCCCTAGTGTGCACATGTCTCTGCCCTGGGCGTCAGGGAGTTCCTCAGTCCAGGACCGGGCATGTCTCCGTGGCTGCCCTGCTGGCTGGCACAGGGCCAGGCACGCGGTCAGGCTCAACATCTGTCGGATGGTTGTGTTGCAAGTTCATGATCTTCCACAGAGAGGATAGAGATCCATGCACAAGGAGTCACCAGCTCATCAGACATTGGTTGAGGACCTACTGGGTGTTGGCCATGGGCTCCATACGGGGGACTTAGGAGAGAACAAGCAAACAAGGTTCCTGCTGAGGTGTTTCCACTCCACTGGGGGAGACACAGCATGTGCAGAATATCAGATGGCAATGACTTCTGGAAAGAGAAGGAAACAGGGCTTGTGCTAAGAGGGTGGGTGGGGGTGGCCAGGGAAGCCTGGCTAGGGAGGTGTCATGGGGCCATCGCTTACATGAAGACCTGCAGGAAATACAAGAGGGCAGGGCAGGGCAGGAGACGTGGTACCTGTAGAGCCAGAGGAACAGAAAGGAAGCCACTGAGGCTGGAGCACAGGGAATGAGGACATGGCACAGGGGAGAGATGGGCAGGGGCCAGGCACGCAGCATGCTGTGGGCAAGGTAAGGTTTGGGATTTTATTCCAAGTAAAGTAAAAGTTCTAAGCAGGGGTATGGCAGGATCTCATCTGCAGTTTTAAAAGATCTCCTCTCCCCCTCAATGGATAGATTCGGGACATATCCTCAAGGATGAATCAAAACAACTTGCCCATATACTGGGCATGAGTGAAGGGGACAGAGGAATCCTAGAGGCTCCTAGGTTTGGGGCCTGTGCAACGGGCTACTCTGGATCAGTTCTCAGTAGAAAGAGCTCAGATTAGGGGTCAGACAGGCCCAGATTTCAATCCTTACTTAACCTCTTCAAGCTTTGATTTTCACTTCTGAAAGATGGGGACAAAATTGCACATAGAAGGTGTTAATTCTTGTCCCTTGACCAGAGAGGTTACAGACGCCCAGAAAAATAAAGTGTTCTGTCCAAGGTCACATAGCCAGACTAAGCAACTCCAAGTTTGTTCAAACCGAGGGAAACAAGGAGGGTGAGTAGGGGGTCTGGAGGCCGACCTAACACGCAGTTCAAATCTTGGCTCTGTGCCTCAGTCTCCTTGCCTGTAAAGCGGGACTATGACGTTTCTATCTCCCAGGCCTGAGATGACTAAATGAGGTATTGCATGGTGAGCACCTAGCCCAGTGCCTGTCAGGTAGCAAGCACCCAGAAAACGAGCACAGAGCCCAAAGAGGCTCCCTCCTAAGCTTCAGGGCCCCATCTTCTGCTGGGGACACATACCAGCTGGGGACACATACACGTGAAGAATAATATCACTAAGGCAGTAGCTTCATCTACTGTCTGACTTCATCCGCACACCCAGGCTGAAGCAGGTCAGTATTTTCACAGATGAGGAAACAGCTCCAGAAGGGCAAGGGACCAGCCCCAAAGCCCCCATTACCAAGCCTGGACTCTAAACTAGGAGTGGCACGCAGCTGCCCGTGGCCAAGCCGCCTGTTTTAGTGCAGCCTGGTAGCTAGTGTGGGGACCTGGAATTGGCCACCCCAAGATATGTCTCTTTGGCATCAGGATTATTTGAGGCTGATTGCTTTTGATAAACTGGGACAGGGAAGGAGGCTCTGAGGAATGGAACTTGCCCTTTGTTAGGACACATTTACGTTTGTAAGGTAAATCTCTATCTGTAAAGGTGCCTCCCTCTCTGTACCAGGAAGAAGAAAGGAGATGACCTTCTCTCTAGAAACTCTTAATACCAAAGGCAAGGACTTAAATCTGCATTTTATTGTGCTAGTCTGGTAACCTCCTGTAACTGACTTCCCTCTCCCTCCCAACATTGGCATTTCTTTAAGGATTAAGCATCTTTCCTTAGGCTAGGAACTGATTGCTGCACTCACCTGTGACCACCCAGCTCCAGACAATCGACTAGCCTCCTGCTATGCCCACCCAGACAGCAGACCACTACCTGCTGTGTCCATCAAGCACTGTGCGGACAGGGCAATCTTGTGACTATTGTGGGAGGGACATTTCAATCACATGTGAAACACCCTGTTTGGGGGTATATAACCACTATGTGCACCCCACTTCTTGGGTGTCCTTTCTTCCTTTGGGAAGAAAGGCCCCGGGCCATGGTTCCTCATAAAGCTTTGTTTAATTTTCTCTTGCTATTCTGTCTCATGTGAATTTAATTCGTTCTCCAGCCAGATGAACCCCCATTTGGGAAGAGGAAATGTCCTCCTCCCCTACACTAGAAATGGTTGCTACGTCTTTAAAGGACTGAAAAGTAAATGAAGAAAATTTCTTGACATATGAGAGTTATAAGAAATTCTAATTTCAGCTGCCGTAGACAAGGTCTTTTGGGAACACAGCCCTGCTCCTTTGTTTACTATCTCCATGGCTTTTGCTGCAAGGGCGGGGTTGAGTAGTTGTGACAGAGAGCATACAGCCCAGAAAGCCTAAAGGGCAAGGAGGCAGGATGGACAATGCCATGGGAGATAACCCAGGGTCCACCGGAAGGCTGTGGGGGAGGGGAGAGGTTCAAATCCGGAGAAGGCAGGTCAGTGCTGAGACCTCTCCAAGCGGGAGGCACCTTGGGGAAACGGAGTCCAGCTTCCTCTTTTTAGATGAGAAAAACTGAGGCCCAAAGACTGGAGGCAGCCTGCCTGAGGCCACCCAGCGCGTGGCTAACAGCCAGATCCCCAGGGCTGCCTCCCTCTCCGTGGGGAGACGCGGCCAGCGCCCCGCTGGGCGGCGCATCGAGCCCCTGGGGCCTCTTTGGTTCAGCTGGGCCGCGGGGGGAGCGGGGCGCGTTGCAGGGCGCAGGGGCTGGAGAGCCAGCGGGACGGCCCCGGAGGATGGTGGCGGCCTCTCCCCGGCGGGGAAGGGGAGGCGCCTGTGTCGCGGCCTCCGCCTCTTTCCCGCCCCCCGCTCGGCGCTGCAGCCAGCTTTGCCTCCACCCCACCGCCTAGTTCTAAGGCGAGTCCCGCGTGCAGCCAGCTGGTTACCTGGGCCGGGGGATTTGCCCCGCTCGGTTTTTTTCCTTCCTATTTTGCAAAGCACGGAAGACACACCCAGCTCCCTGGAGCTCTGAAAGCAGCATTTGATCCGCGCGCGGTTGGGGAGCTCTGGGCTGATAAGCAATCGGGAGGAGCTGCCGGCGGGCAGCCCTGGGGTGCGCGCGGCTCCAGCCGCCAAGCTGCAACCCGAGCCCCGCCCCCGCCGGTTTCCCTCCGGGGTGAACTGGGAGGGCCGCCTGGGAGGAATCCAGAAGCCTCCTTTGTCTGCAGCCTGGAGAAATAAAAGAAATAGCAAACATTTATTAAAGGTGTGGCTTAGAATAGGTGCTCGGAGAGTAACTGGAACTGTTAGGTCCTTCACCACCTGAAGCCCGGGCTTCCCATGGCGTCCATTCTGGAGGACGTCCATTCTCCAACACCTGGAAAGTGCCGGCACGACTCCTAGTCTGAGCCAAGTTTCTCCTCTTCTGCGACCACCTCTCCATGGTGCCCTCAGGAGCCCAGTCATTGGAAAACTTCTGGATCCTCAGCCTCTTATCTACACGTTCCCTTAACCCTCCAGCCCGGGAACACGCCCCGCCCCCGCCCCAGGGCCCTGGGCCCTTACGGGCCCCTTAAGGGAAGCTGTTAATTCCCCACACCGCCCTATAGATCAGGGTCTCCCGGTAAGGTCAGTGTCTTCCTCCTTGTGGAGGCTGGCAACCCATTTCTCCTCCCTTCTCCGTCTGAACACACTTCTTCCTGTGGACTTAATACCGCCAGTCTTGACAGTCCACAGACCCTGTTGTAACTCTCTCCTACAGGAGGTCAGACATCTCCTTTAATCCTGTCACGATCACTTCTCTCTCCACCCACCTGAGCCACTTCCTCCCAGGACGGTAACCCTGACCCCTACTGCCAGCATCACACCTCCTCTGAAATCTCAGTTCCAGGGGTCCTTGCTCTCTTTGACCAGCACCTCCTCTCCCTCCTGTTCACTCACTGCTCCCTCCAGCATCTCTTCAACTTCACCCGGAACTCCAACCCATTGTCCCTAATTGGTCACTGTCCCCCTTCCTTCCAGCCCGGTCCCCAAACACCGAGTTCCCCATCCCAGACTCACCACTAGTATTAGTTTTGTGTATTATTACTTCCCCTTGCATGGAAGGCTCTCTTGAAAAGCTTTGGTTCTTCTACAGAAATGTCCTGGTTTTTCTCCTCCCTCCCTGGCTGCTCCTAAACAGGCTCCTCCTCCATTTGGCGTGCAAATGTACTGTGCTCCTCCACGTGCGGCCCTTGAACTCCTTTTTCCTGTGAACGCTCTTCTACGTGATCTCTTCAGTGCTGTGACTTTAAATAGCAGGCATAAGCCAGTTGCACCAAGTTTATTCCTTCAGTTCTGACTTCTCCGGTGTCCAACCGCTAACTGACGTAGACAGCTAGTAGTCATCTCCAAGGCAGATCGTGGTAATGCCGCCATTTTGTGAAGTTGCGTCCTCTGAAGAGCCATGAAGCTTAACTAGGCTTGTGCTTGTGTGGATCATCAACTACCTCACCTCTCCTAACCTCCAATCATCTGTCTCCACACTTCAGACCACCCTGCCCTTCATAAGTTGTGCCCCAAGCCCTGGATGGGGAGACAGATCTAAGAGCATATGCCCCCATCTCCTTGCAGATTGATCTCACAAAATAAGCTACATTTCTTCTCCCAAAAGTTCATGCTGTAATAATTGGCTTTTTTTTTTTTTAAAGATTTTATTTTTTCCTTTTTCTCCCCAAAGCCCCCCGGTACATAGTTGTGCATTCTTCGTTGTGGGTTCTTCTAGTTGTGGCATGTGGGACGCTGCCTCAGCGTGGTCTGACGAGCAGTGCCATGTCCGCACCCAGGATTCGAACCAACGAAACACTGGGCCGCCTGCAGCGGAGCACGTGAACTTAACCACTCGGCAAAGGGGCCAGCCCATAATTGGCTTTTTTTAATGCACGTCGGGTAGGAGAACCCCATTTGTGTGGTAGCACCAATCCTGCTTCCCCTGGTTGTCCCTGTTGCAGTGAATGACATTCCAACCACAGGTGCTCAAGCCCAAACAAGATGCCATCTTTGATTCCTCTCTTCACTCCTACGGCCGGGGAGGAGAGGAATCGACCTCTCAGGAGTCCTTGTCAACTCCAAAACGTGTCCCTAAAGCAGGCATTTTCCTTGGTCTCCCACACATAAGTCTGAGCCCTGAACACTTGTCCCCTAGATTATCACAATCTCTTCATCACTGGTCTCCCCAGGTCTTCCTTGAGTCTCTGCCATCTGTTCTCACACAGCAGCCAGAGTGACCATCAGGTCAGGTCGTGCCTCTGCTCAAAACCCTGCTGTGGCTCCCACTTCCTTCTGAGCGAAAGTCCCTACAATGGCCTGCAAGGCCCAATGATCTGGGCCCCACGACACTCCTGTCTTAGTCCGTTCAGGCTGCTGTAACAAAATACTACTAACTGGGTGGCTTATAAACAACAGACATTTATTCTCACAACTCTAGAGGCTGGAAGTCTCAGCAGGGTGGCAGCGTGGTCAGGTGAGGGCCCTCTTCAGGGTCACAGACTTCTTGTTGTATCTTTACATGGCAGAGGGGGACCAGGGAGCTCTCTGGAGCCTCCTTTATTAGGGCATTAATCCCATTCATCACCTCCCAAAGGCCTCATCTCCTGATACCATCACCTTGTGAGTTATGATTTCAACACATAAATTTTCGGGGACACGAATGTTCAGATCACAGCCCCTCTCTGACTCATCGCCTGCAGTCCAGTCAGTCACACTGGCCTCCCCCCGTTCCTGCGGCAGGGCCATTGAACTGGTGGTCCCCTCTGCCTGAGAAGCTCGCTCCCTCACTTGCCGTGTTTGGTTCAATGTCATCATCTTTTTTTTTTTTTTTTGAGGAAGCTTTGCCCTGAGCTAACATCCACCACCAGTCCTCCTGTCTTTGCTGAGGAAGACTGGCCCTGAGCTAACATCCGTGCCCATCTTCCTCTATTTTATATGTGGGAGTCCTGCCATAGCATGGCTTGATAAGCAGTGTGTAGGTCCACACCTGGGACCCAAACTGGCGAACCCTGGGCCACCAAAGAGGAGGAACATGTGAACTTAACTGCTGCACCACCGGGCCCACCTGATAATGTCATTTTCTCAGGGTCCAGAGAAGACACTTTTCTTCATTGTTATAGTCTCCTTAGGGACCAGAGGCGGCACTGTCACCAAGGGCAGGAATCATGTCTGTATTGCCTTCTGATGTATACTCTGCCCCTGGAACAGTGCCTGGCACACAGGAGGCCCTTCGAAAGTATTTTCAGAATAAATGAAACCAAATTCCTGAAGGCTTTAGGGCCTTGGCCCCAGCAGGTCCTCCTTCAGCTTTTGCGCTTGAGAAGTCAGGGCCCCTTCCCCGGGCTGCAGCCGCCAGCTTCTCTCACATTTTCCAGATAGCACTTATCATCACGTGATATGTGTAGTGTGTGTCTCTCCCACCTGGTAGGGAAAGTTGGTCATCTCCTTTCCCCACGGCATCTCCCTGTAGGCACACAGTAGGTTCTCAGTAAACACCAGCTAGATCAGGATTGCTCATCTCCACAGGACTGACATTTGGGGCTGAAGCCTTCTTTTTTTAAAGATTTTGTTTTTCCTTTTTCTCCCCAAAGCCCCCCGGTACATAGTTGTGTATTTTTAGTTGTAGATCCTTCCAGTTGTGGCATGTGGGATGCCGCCTCAGCATGGCTTGACGAGCAGTGCCACGTCCGTGCCCAGGATTCAAACTAGTGAAACCCTGGGCTGCTGAAGCAGAGCGTGGGAACTAACGACTCGGCCACAGGGCCAGTCCTGAAGGCTTCTTTGTTTCAGGGACTATCTTGGGCATTGTGGGATATCCGGCAGCATCCCTGGTCTCTACCCCCTCCAGTTGTGACACCCAAAAACGTCTCCAGGTGTTGACAAATGGGCAAAACTGCCCGGTTGAGAGCCACCATGTTAGTCGAATAACTGGTGAATGAATGAGGGAACTCAGTGCCGAGTCCTACCTTGAGCTCTCTCCTCTGCTCCCTAAGTCGAGTCCATTCCTGTGGGAAGCTCCCCAGCCCCACTGAGACAGAGCACAGAAAAGGCTTGGCCATTCCTCTCCTTCCAAAACACTGTCTCCAAGCCCCACCCCAGAGAACAAACGTCCTCTAAAACCTCTGAAAGCCCTTCAGTCACATGAAGTTTAGAGTTGTTTAATACCTAACAAAGGTTTTACCTCCCAGGTGTGCGTGTGTGTCTCCAGGGTGGAGGTTGGGATGGAAACTGGCACCATCCCCTCTGCCATTCAATCCTTCCCAGGTAATATTTGCATTCCTATACTTCTCCCTTACCCTCCAACCCAGCCCTGACTATTGAAAGGGAGGAAAATGTCCTTGGGTTTTTAAATGAACTCTTTCTTCCCAAATAACTTCTTTAGCAGCCACAGCTGGAAGAAACATTGATTCATGCATTTTTTCAACTAACCTTTATTAAGCATCCCCATGTGCCTGGGACTGTGTTAGTGCCTTATACATTAACTATATATTTTATATCCATTTAATCTTCACAACAATTCTATGAGATCATGTTATTACCCATTTCACAGATGAGGAAACTGACGCACCCAGAAGGAAGTTCTGGAGTCAGTTCTCTGCAGAACCTTAAGCCCAGTAAGGCCTGATATCCAGGCCAGTAAGTCCAGCCACACAAGACAGAGCCCCTTGGACACTCTATCAGGGAAAGCGTCTCACACTCAACAGATCCACGGAATTTGTCTCTCTTCCCCAGACATACTTCTCTTCTTGGTTCCTCAAACCCCCAACCCCCCACCCCTCCATCTCCTGTCATCCCTGTCAGAAGCCAGGCCTCTGCTCTGTCCCACTCCTAGATCTAATCAATCACAGAAAATCTTCTTATCTTTGGAAACCCCACCAAACAAGCCCCAGGCAACCCCCACCCCCTGCATCCTTCCTCCAGCCCCAAGCTTTCTAAATGCAAATCTTCATGACCTGCATAATATCCTGCAGTGGCTCCCCATTGTCTTGGGGATAAAGTCCACAGTCCAGCTCATTTTGAATCTCCAGGTCCACCTTGCTCCTCCCCACCCTAGTGGAGCTAAAGCTCTGGCCCCTGCTGTTGCTGGAATTGGAGCCTCTGCATGGGCTGCTCCCGGCTCCTCTCTTTGCCTGGACAACACTTAATTGCCCTATCAGACTTAGCTCAGCCTTCTCTGTCCCCTAAGACTAAGTGATGCCATGATACCCAGTGCTCATCCCTACCCTATTGGAATTGCTTACCTGTCCCATCCCCCAAGGAGAATGTAAGCTGTAGAGTGCTGGGGTCCCATTGGTCTGGTAAGCAAGGGCCTGGCAGACACAGCAGGTGCTCAGTCTATTTGTTGAAGGAGTGAATGATAGACGAACAAGGAGATGGGTCAGCCTGGATGCCAAGCACAGAGGCCGGCGTGTTTACACAGTTGTCCTAGGGTGGGGGGCATCACACTCTTGTAGGGGGGTGGCCCAGAGCCTGGCTTTGGAGTGAGGTAAACAGGTCTGCATCCTATTGCTGACAGTATTTGTGGATGTGACATTAGGTGCACTCCTTGGCCTCACTGTGCCTTGGGTTTTCCTCCTGCAAAATAGGATGATATGGGGCCAGCCCCGTGGCTGAGTGGTTAAGTTCATGCGCTCGGCTTTGGTGGCCCAGGGTTTCGCCAGGTTGGATCCTGGGCGCAGACACGGCACCACTCGTCAGGCCATGCTGAGGCGGCATCCCATATAGCACAGACAGAAGGACCCACAACTAAAAATATATGGCTATGTACAGAGGGGCTTTGAGGAGAAAAAGGAAAAATAAAATCTTTAAAAAAAAAATAGGATGATAAGATTGTCTTCCAGTGGGTAAAACGAACAACATGACCTGTGAAAGGGCTCTGCAGACAGTATTTGTCAAATGCTGGTTCTGTTTCTGCTGCTCAGCAGGATGGCATGATGACAAAGATGAGGATTTGGAATCAGGCTGCCTGGGTCCAAGTCTTGACTCTTCCGCTCTTCCATGCATCAGCTGTGTGACTTTGGGCAAATTACTCAACCACTCTGAGCCTCAGCTTCGCAGTGTAAATTGGGATAATAGTACCTACCTCCCAGGGTTGCTGTGAGAATAAAGTAAGATAACATATGTAAAGCAGTTAGCACAGTGCCCCAATAAATGTCGACTGTATTTTTAGCTATAATTCCTGTAGCACACTGAGGTCCCATGATATAGTGTGATGGGAGAACCCTCGGTTCTCCATGAGTCCTTGTCTCTGCTGTTCAGTTTTCACGTCTATACAAAGTCAGCTCAATGGGCTCCTGCAACTTCTTCCTCCTCTTCTTTTTTTTTTTTTTGAGGAAGATTAGCCCTGAGCTAACTACTGCCAATCCTCCTCTTTTTGCTGAGGAAGACTGGCCCTGAGCTATCATCCGTGCCCATCTTCCTCTACTTTTATATCTACTTTTATATGTGGGATGCCCACCACAGCATGGCGTGCCAAGTGGTGCCACGTCTGTACCCGAGATCCGAACCGGCAAACCCTGGGCTGCCGAGAAGCGGAATGTGCGAACTTCACTGCTGCGCCACCGGGCCAGCCCCCCTCCTGTGACTTCTGAAATGCCATGATTCTGAGTCCTGCAGGCCTTTGTCAGCCCTCACGCTACCTGCTACCCCTCCCCAAGGAACCCCGCTTTCCAAGGAAAGAGGAAAGACTCCTTTTCCATCTCTCCGTCTCCGCTCCCTCAGCCTCATCAAAGCTGGCTTACTGGTGGCTCATCCCTTTTGGGGTTCCTTCCTGCTTTCAGTGGGTGCTAATGGGTTAATCAGAGGCACTAATGGAACCGAGGGGAACTCAGTGTCAGCTAACGCATGGGTCGCTCCATCTGCCCTCCCTGTAACACAGTGCCTCCACCCTGGTAAAGGGCACTCCGGGATTTCCTGTCGGCTCGATCTGCTGGTTTCTGACACCTTGAAAGTCAAAAGGCTGGAGTGGGAAGGAGAGGGACTGACAGAAGTGGGGACAGAGGGGAGAGGCTCTGAACCAGCTGTTCCATCCCAATTCTGTCGCTGACTTGCTGTGTGAGCTTGCACAAATCCATTCCCCTCTCTGGGCCTCAGTTTCCTCATATGTAACATGAACTAGGTTGGGGTGTAAAGGCTTTGCTGGAGCTAACATTCTAGAACTTTCTTCTTCTTTTTTTTTTAAGATTGGCACCTGGGCTAACAACTGTTGCCAATCTTTTTTTTTTCCTGCTTTTTCTCCCCAAGTCCCCCGACTTCATAGTTGTATATTTTAGTTGTGGGTCCTTCTAGTTGTGGCACGTGGGACACTGCCTCAATGTGGCCTGATGAGCAGTGCGATGTCTGCGCCCAGGATCCGAACCAGTGAAACCCTGGGCCGCAGAAGCGGAGTGTGCAAACTCGACCACTTGGCCACGGGGCCGGCCCCTAGAACTTTCAAATCCTGTCACTTTTGCAGCTGAAGAGTGAATGTCCTTCCAACTTCAGTCAACATCCAAAAACTATTAAGTATCTATGGTGTGCCAGCCTATGCCAGGCTCTGTGGACCACGGGGAAGTGTGCGTGTGTGAATGAGACACAGACCTGACCCCGGGAGCTCCCAGGCTCTGTGCCATCCTGCTACAGTTCTTCTATTTACAACATGGAGTGGAACGAGGAGGCCTCCACCCTTACTGAGGGCCTCTGTGTGCCGGCCTGAAGGCACAGAGGAAATACTGATAGCTGACGAGCTTTCAGTTCTTTTAGTTCTCTGACTAAACCATGCTCTCTTGCCTCCTGGCCTTTGCACAAGCCATTCCCTGTTCCTGGAACAGCCTCACCTCCCCTGCTCTTGGCCTGTCTAACTCAACTTATTTGCCAGGCCTCACCTTCATTCATTCCTTCAACCCATATTTACAGAGCACTTGCTGTATGCCAGGCTGTGCCAAGGGTTTAGGATCTAGACGAGAACAAGACTCACGCTGTCCCTGTCCCCTGGGAGCTTAAGATTCCTATGGGGGGAGACAATCTATTAAACAATTTCACCAAAAAAAAAAAAAAATGTAAAGTCGAGATGAACATAGATGGGACAGAAACAAGAGCTGAGACAGAAGGTGGGGTGGGGCATCCTGGAAGAGGCAGCAGCGTGTGCACAGCTCAGAGGCAGGAAAGAAATGGCTTGTGAACAGCACGGAAAGACCCATGTGGCTGCAGAATGGGGAGAGAGGAGGGTAAGGGAGGCTGGAGCGGCCGGAGCAGATCAGTCCAGAGGTCCTTCTTGGGATGCCAGGCCCCCATGTTTGGGTAGGTGCTCCCCAGTGCTTCTGTGTCATGGCAGCTGTGGCTCTGCATCCTCAGTGCCTGCTCACATCTCTGACTCCTCAATTAGACCCCAAGTCCCTGAGGACAGAGATCACCTCCTGTAAGTGCTGTACCCTCTATTCCTGACTCGCTGAACACAGCAAAATACACATCCTCCGTAAGAGCTGCCAAACACCGTCTCTCCAGTCTTCCCATCTCTATACTTGGAACCACCACTCATCCAGCCACTCCAGCACAAACCCAGGAGTCGTCACCAATGCCTGGATTTCCGTTTCTCTCCTCCCGAGAACCGCAGAAAAAGACCTGTCCCCTCTGTCTCTCGAACCACCCGAAAATCTGCCACGGCCGCCACCCTGGCCCAAGGCCCCACAGGAGCTGCTCAGTGGCTCCCTCCTCGACTCCTCCATCCTACCACTCCCCTACTTAAAATGCCGGCAGCCAATTCTTTTCGACCGTGCAGGCTGAAAAGCAAAACAAAAACACAAGCACAGTCACTTCCCACTGTGCCTAGAACAAAATCTTTATCCCAGCCTCCAAATTCCTGCTCACCTGGCCCATCTAGGTCTCCAAGTTCCCCTCCTACACTCTCCCCTCTGCTCCTCTAGCCACACTGGCCTCTCTTTCTTCTTCTTCTTTTTTTTTTTTTTTTTTTTTTTTAGGAATTAGCCCTGAGCTAACATCTGCTGCCAATCCTCCTCTTTTGGCTGAGGAAGACCGGCCCTGAGCTACCATCCTTGCCCGTCTTCCTCTATTTTATATGTGGGAAGCCCACCACAGCATGGCTTGCCAAGCGGTGCCACGTCTGCACCCGGGATCCCAACTGGCGAACCCTGGGCCGTGGAAGCGGAATGTGTGAACTTAACTGCTGCGCCACTAGGCCGGCCCCTCTTCTTTTTCTGATTCTTACATATTCTAAGGTTTATTCCTGCCTCGGGATCTTTACATGTGCCATTCCCTCTACCTAGGATGCTACTGTCATATGCCACTTAACGACAGGGATACGTTCTGAGAAATGCGTCATTGGGCTGTTCTGTTGTGAGAACATCATACAGTGTACTTACACAAACCTGATGGTCTAGCCTACTACACACCTGGGCTGTATGGTACTAATCTTATGGGACCACCATCGTATATGTGATCTGTGGTTGACTGTACGTCCTTATGCGGCGTATGCCTGTATTTGCCCAGATTTTCACCTGGATGTTTCTTCCTAGTCCGAACTCAACTCCAGTGTCAGCTCCTTGGAGGGGCCATCATGCTACCCGCCCTCACCATCACTACTTTCCCTTACCCGCCACCATATGCCCTGTTGGATCTACCTAGTGTTTCCTTGTTGATTCATTGAGTGTTTGTGTATCGTCAGTGTTCCCTCTCTCAAAGGTCAACTGCACGACAGCAGGGGCCTTCCTTGCCTCACTCGTAGTGATGAGGATTTTAGACTGATTACTTTTAAAACTGCAGATGAGAAGCAGGCTCCGAGGAACGGAGTTTGCTTGCCCTTTGTTGGGAAACACTTACATTTGTAAGGGAAACCTCCATCTGTAAAGATGCCTCCCTCTCTGTGACAGGAAGAAGGCAGGATGGCCTTATCTCTGGAAACTCTTAATGGGGAAGGCAAGGACTTAAGTTGGTTACTGTCTGGCAACCTCGTGTAACTGATTTAGGGTGGTGGCTTCTGGCCTTTACTTAATCCGATTTGATTCTTATCTAAAAGTTGTGGGACCACCCAATGGCCAGACCCCACCTGCACTGATACCATTTTAACTTTTTTACATGTTCTTTCCTTTGTCTTATAAAGAGATGGCTCACATACCTATGCCTTAAATTTAGCCTTACTCTCCACCCATGTTTGCAGCAGTAGTGGGGGCAGCAGCAGCAGCATCAGCTCCTCTTGCCCGTGGGTCCTGTCCCCACGCTATTCCACACTATTCTCTAAATAAAAGAGCACTACTGCCAGATCTGGAGAGTCCAAGAAATCTTTCTTTCGACTCCTCGGCTCACCGACCCTGCATCAGTAGCTGTAACCCCAGAACCTGATGCATCATAGGCCCTCGGTTATTGGTTGTTGAATGAGAGCATTGATGGGTCTCTTTTATACGGCCGGCTCTGTTCTAAGCACTCTACATGTGTTATCCGACTGCATCTCAGACAGCAACCTCGAGAGAGAAGCTGCTTAGACAGGTGAGGTGACCGGCCCAAGTTCATGCAGCTAGGCAGCGATGGAGCCTGACTTCAAACCCACCTGCCCCTCAAGACTGCACTAGCAATCATAACAAAGTGCTGATCCCCATAGTTAACCCTGGTGTTGCACCAATGAATGAATGAATGGACGAATTATAAACACCTGGAGTGAGTGGTGTGCCTGAAAGAATGACATTCCCAGCTTTAAGAAGCTCACTGGGGCCTAGCCCGGTGGCGCAGCGTTTAAGTTTGTATGTTCCGCTTCAGCGGCCCAGGGGTTTGCCAGTTCGGATCCCAGGTGCGGATATGTCACTGCTTGGCAAGCCGTGCTGTGATAGGTGTCCCACATATAAAGTAGAGGAAGATGGGGACGGATGTTAGCTCAGGGCCAGTCTTCCTCAGCAAAAAGAAGAGGATTGGCAGATGTTAGCTCAGGGCTAATCTTCCTCAAAAAAAAAAAAAAAAAAAAGGCAGCTCACTGCCTTCCTCTCCTTGGGTCTCTGTTTTAGAGTGGGGAAAGAAGGGCGCATTCTCACTGACTGAGAGACTGTTGTGTGCTGGGTACTGTACCCATGGCCCTTGTGGTTATCTGCTTTGCCCAGACTGGCTGCCGAGTCAGTCCAGCCAGTGAGGGGACTCCCGGGAGCATCCCGTAGCTGTGGGCTCTCCCTTGGACAGCTCTGCTATCTTGTGAGAGCTGTGTCTCTGGCTGGCTGCCCACCTGCCTGCCAGCCACAGCTTCTTAGCTCATCAATCATGCGCCGTGCTCTGCCAGGCTGTATCTCAGAGGAAGACAAGTCAAGTCAGCTGAAGATGGAATGGGCCGCAGGCTCAGGAGGCAATCGAAGACACTGGCGGGGGAGGGGGGCGGGGGGGGGGGCACCAGAAAGACAGCTGAGGACTGGATCGATCCCCCGCTAGGGAGGGAGGAGGGGTCGATTAGGGGAGGAGGCAGGGGCAGGACTCCCATTGGAAAAGCAGTGGGGTGAGCAGGCGAGATGGAGAAGATGGCTGGTGTGGGCGGGGGTGGTTTCCCATTGCAACAGAAATTCAGTCTCCTGGGGTGCCCTGGCCGCACCCGCAGCCCCGGGGGGTAGCCGGACAGCGCTCGGAGGGCGGGCGCTTATGGCGGCTGGTTGATCGCAGGCTCAGCTGCCCTCCCGCACCGCTGGGCTCCCTGTGGCCTGGTTTCCCGGCAGGCACCCTGCCTTCCAACACCGCGGGGAAGGGAGTGGAGGGAGAGGCCGGGCATCTCCATCTTCACCACTTCCTCTGCTTTCTCGGCTCTGAGCCTCTGGGGATTGGAATTTGCACTATCTCCCCAGGGAGGTTCTGCGGAAAGTCAGGATGTCTGAGCCTTAGCCTCCTTGGAGATCTTCTAGGCTAGAGAAGCAAACCGGCAGGCTCTTGTTGTTGTTTTGCTTTTCAGTCTGCACAGTTAAAAAAAAAAAAAAGGAAAATGAATTAGTTGCCAACCTTAAAACAAGATTAGATTGCACATCAAAATCTGATTTCTGGCTTCTCTTAAAAAATCCAACGATCTGGCAACTCTGGGCTGGCTTTCCCAGAGCTGGGTCGAGGCTGCTCCAGATGGAGCCCACCACGCCCTTTTCACCCTCTGTGTTGCTGACCAGGTCCTGGGGATCTTTGAGTGTCCCACCCCTCGCCTCTTCCAGACCCCTCGCTGGGGAAAGCGAGGCCCACAGTGGGCAAGACATGAGAGCAGGGTCCAGGGGTGACAGCTAGCCCTGGGACTGAGAGGCCTCCAGGTTTCAGAGCTCAGGGCTGCTCTAGGAACTGTGTGATCTCAGGAAAGTAACCAAAGGGCCCCTCAGAGGTCCAGTTTTCTCATCTGCGAAATGGAGACAGTGGTAGTACCTTATGAAGAATCAGTTAGATGCTGCACGTTTAACATTTAGCACCATCCCTTGTATGTTTACAAGGAAGATACACGTAGTTTTGAACAGGTAATACATGTGATAATATATATGTTCCAGTTAATAGTCACACACACACAAAGTATCTCAAAACTTAGTGGCTTGAAACAACAAGGTATTATTGTCTCTTGCAGTTCTGTGTGCTGACTGCATTCGTATGTTCATATGGGTGGTTCTTACCTGGGGTCTTTTGTATTGTTCTGGTTACGTGGCAGCTGAGGGTGCCATCATCTGAATGCTTGACTGGGGCTGAACTTCCAAGACGGCTCATGACTGGCATATGATGTTAGCTGTCAGCTGGAGCTCAGATGGGACTGTGGACCTCAGTGCCTACATGAGGCCATTCCGTGTGGCTTGGCCTTCTCCCATCGTGGTGGCTGGGGTCGGAGAGAGTGTCGCAGAGTAAGCAATCCAAGAGAACCAGATGTAGCTGCATGACCTTTCATGACCTATCCTTGAACATCACACAGTGTCACTTCCACTATTCTTTATTGGACTAAGCAGGTGCAAACCCACTCAGATCAAACAGGAGGGGACATAGACCCTACCTCTCAAAGAATTTGGGGGCTGTTTTTTAAAACCACCACAGCTTATATGTAAACTGAAGCATAAGTCCCCCTTCCACCCCATTCCCCCAGGGCTGAATTACCCTCCCTAACAGCAACCCCTACTAATGAATTTCCTGTGTTTCTTCCCAGAAAGAGTCCACACATACGTGCACGTGAGAGTTATATGTATACAGATGTGCCTAGCACCTGCATATTCTGGTTATTCAAACACTATTCCAGCTCAGGAACCAAATGGACTCTGATAGCCTCTGGGGTGAACTGTTTGCTATCGAACTCTTGCTATTTGCTATCTGAAATGAAATGCAGGAGGCAAAGATTCCGATAACATAGCATCCCTTGCTTTCCAAACCCTCACTTTCTGAATTCAGAAACCAAATAGATTTGGAGAGCAAGAGATGCTTGTGTAAATATACATAAAAACACCTTTTCCTGGGCGCCCTCCCCCCATGTGAGCATACCAGGCACACTCACTGATCTATCCCTTGCACTTTTCACTTAACAATTTATCTCAAAGATCAAACTGTTTCAGCACATATAGTTGGGTCTCATTCCTTCTCCGAGCACAGAGCATTCCATTGTTCAAATGCACCGTAATTTGTTTATTCAAATCACCTCCTATTGACCACTTGCTTTTTTCTTTTTTCCAGTCTTCTGCTAATCATATTCCACAACACAGTGAATAGCCTGGTCTGGAGTCTTCCTGCCCTTGTGTGAGATTGTCTGTGTGATGAATTCCTAGAGGCAGAATTCTGGGTCAAAGGGAAGGGTTCCCATGACCATCTCGACGCCACATCTTCTCTTGTGTTCTGGCCTTGATCTTTTGCCCTTGCTCCTGCTGTCACCTTGTGAGATCCTGCCTGTTTCCAGGGCAGCAGGTGGCAGCTGCTTCCCAGCTACTCGCTGAGGTCACATAGAGGCCTGCAGTGGGGAGAGAACCCTGCAGGGACAGAGATGATGGCCTTTGCAAAAGGAGGATGGGGGGACCTGAGGGGGGGACCCCACTCCTCTTATTTGCCTTTTGGTTTTCAGCAGCAGCTGCATCTGTTTCTCTCAGACCCCAAGCCGTTGCTGGGGAAATTCAAGCTGCTCTCATTCCCTTTAAAGGGAAAAAGGGAGCTTGCTTCTTGTGGCAGGTCTGCACCCAGCTGTGCAGAGCCCTCTGTAGGAGCTTCCAGATGTGCAAAGACCATGAGGAGGAAACACCATCAGGAGCCGCAGTTGCTCCTTCCCCTGTTTTCAGTGTCACGGGATGCCCATGACTGCTCGGTTCTACTCCTGTGCTGGACACAACATCGAAACAGAAGTCAGGGGTCTGAATTGTTGCCCCCATGGTGTGTGTCTTCAATTCCCATTTCAGGCACAATTGCCCTTGTGTGCCCTGCACTGTGGTGAGGAGGCTGCATGGCACTGAGGTATGCAGGCCATTTACTGTGTGCTCTCAGATCCATTCCCTGCCCTTCCCCTGCTGGGCTCAGCTTCTAGGGGGCTGAAGTGCATTTCCCAGGCTCCCCTGCCAACTGGTTTCCTAGTAAGTTTGGCCACTGGGAGGTACTGGTAGATTAGAGAGCAGAGGGTGGGGAGAAGTCGAGATGTATGCCCTGACACTGACACTTCTGCAGTCTCTGTCAGTGATTCCAGAGGATGGCCCCTTCCTCCAATGTCCTAGCTCCTACCAGGCGGCCTGGCTCATAGGCTGCAGTGACACTGACCCCTCCCTGTGTTCCTTCAGCCCTGGATAGAGATTTCCTACAGTGGTTAATCTCTAGATAGCCCCGCATATCCTTGGTTTTCTTCTCTTCTAGCCCTGTCTAACTAGATGCCCATGTTAAATTCCTTCTCTTGCACTCTCTGGCGTGAGTTTTGACTTCCTGCCTGGACCACATCTGATATGGTGTGTGAGCATGTGGATTCAGGTTGGAATGTCTGGATTCATATCCCAACTCTATCCTTTACTGGTTGTGAGACCCTGGGCTCTCAGTTACACTGTTTGTAACCACGCAAGTTGCTAAGCTCTCGGCGCCGCCTCTGTTCCTTTATCTGTAAAGTAAGAATAATAACAGTACCTATCTCGTTGGCTCATTGTGAAGGCTAATTGGACGAATAGTTTGTAAGGTGCTTAGAGCAATGCCTGGTATATATTAAGCACAATATATATATGTATATTTTTTGAGGAAGATTATCTCTGAGCTAACATCCACCACCAATCCTCCTCTTTTTGCTGGAGAAGACTGGCCCTGAGCTAACATCCGTGCCCATCTTCCTCTACTTTATATGTGGGATGCCTGCCGCAGCATGGCTTGATAAGTGGTGAGTAGGTCCGCACCTGGCATCCGAACTGGCAAACCTCACACTGCTGAAGCAGAATGTGCGAATTTAACTGCTGCACCACCAGGCTGGCCCCTACGCAAAATATTAATACTAGTTTTATTATTTTTTTCCCCATTTAATCCTCACAACTTCCACAAGAGACAGGGGCTGTTACTGTCCTGGTTTTACAGACAAGGAAACAGAAGCCCAGAGAGATAAAGTGACAGAGGTCATGCAGCTGTAGTAACGGGATTCATGAGGTCAGTTGGACTCCAGTTTACGCCGCTCTACCATACCGCCAATCCAAACCACATTCAGTGGGCAGGCTGGGGACCTCAGCGGGGCTGCTGCAGCTCCCATACTGACTGGCGGGCACTGGGTGGTTTGGCCTGTTTGGCACTGTCTCTCTCACACCCTGCCCATCTTTGCAAATGGGAAGCCAACACAGCCAGCAGCCCGTTCCCCGGGCCAGAAGGAAAGGGGTGAGTCTGTGATCTGGGAGGGAAAGAGGCAGTGGTGAAGGAACATAAGACCATTTTCACCCGCTTCATTGTAGTGACCATTCATTGAGCTCTTCTTATGGCTGCAGATAATGTGGTCAGGTACACGCTAAATTATTTAAGATTTTTGAGGCTGCATGTAAAGGAAACCCAACTAAATTGGCTTAAGGGAAATGCTAATGAATTGACTCAGGGAACTGAGAAGTCCAGGAGTGGGTGTGGCATCAAGCAATATATGGTGATGTTTACATCATCGTCATCGTCCTCGTCACCTTGGTTCTATTTCCTTCTAAGAAGTGACTTCATCCACAGATAGGTGGGCTCTCTCCAGACTTATAGTTCCTAGCTCAATAATTCCAGGGAAGAGAGATCCTTTCCCAAAGCAGACTCTGGTTGGACTGCTTGAGTCTTAAGCCCACCCCAGGGACCAATTGCTGCTGCCAAGAAGACATCACAATTGGCTGGGCATGGTCAGTGCCCCATCCCTGTGGCCAGGAAGAGGCTGGGCCTCTTCCTGTGAGGCTGTGACTGAAAGTCTCGACAGAGCACGCAGAATGGTGTGGATCCCAAAGAAAAGGAGATGATGCAGACAATATAAAAAGGAAACGTGGATGAAGGAGTTCATGACTGTCACCATAAATGCATCACTCTTTAATCTGTTCTATTATTAGCTTCATTTTGCAGAGGAGGAGTCAGGCACAGAGAGATTGAGTCAGAAGGTCACACTTAGTGGCCCAGCCAGGATTGGAACCTGGGATTGCCTGACTCCAGAAGTACCAACTTTACCCATGGTAGTTCCCAGGAAGGGGAGGAATCAAAAGTGGGAGGGAAGATGGAAGCCTTTCCCAGTACATCTGGGCCCTGCCTTCCGTGGCCTATGGTCATTTCCAGTAGGAAGGTCCAAGCTCTTTCTGTGGGCAAGGAGCTCACCAATACTTGTGCTCAAGGCTCTGTTGCAACCCCTCAACCCAGGACCCTGGCTGGGGTTCCACCAGCTTGTTTTCATCTCGGTGAGCATGAGTCAGGCTCTGCCCTGGTCAAGTTTGGGGCTGAGCTGTGTGGCTTTCTGTCTGTGCGTTTGTATACACAGGAAGCAGTCCTCTTCAAAGCCAGCTTGGCCAACAGCAGCCCAGCTGCCCTGTTCCCTCACAGGAATCCCCTGCCCCTCTCCCCACTCCGACTCGACCCCAGCCAGTTCCTCCGACAGGCCACTTCCAGCCCCTGGAGCTTCTATCTCATGATGCTCCTTTTGCCTGCCTGAAAGTATTTCCTCTACCCTCTATCTGGTTGACTCCTCATCCTGTTGAATTCAGGTCAGGGGTCACTTCCTTCAGGAAGCTTCTGTGACATGCTTGCGGTTCTCCCTTGGTCTTAAGTTCCCCGCATCTGTGCTTATTTCTAACATAGTGCTAATCACATTCTAATGAAATTCTTTTTGCTAGTCTATTTTCCTCACCAAATCCTAAGATCTCTGAGGATAAGAACTTCATCTCTGAACACAGTTGGTGCTCCGTAAATGTGTGTTGAATTAACAAATGAATGAATGAGTGGCACCACTGGGACCTGACATGTTCCCTTTGCAGGTCCAGGCACTGACCAGGGCTGCCTAGGGTGTATGTTGGGGGCATGGGCCGTGCAGAAAGGCAGCCAAGGTTCTTGTGGTTTCATGGATAAACCCCTCTGATTCGGACAACAAGGGCAGGTCTTCAGAGGCCGTTCATTGCCGGCTTCTCTCTGCCCTGAAAAAATAAAGTAGAATTTAGTCCTTAGGTAAATTATAGAGTAAATCATAGAATTGTGTGGAATGTTGGTGCCATGGAAGCTGATGTCAGAGAGGGATTTTTTGCTTTTGTAACTGTTATTAGGGAGGAAAAACTTTTCTTCCACTCTCTTAGATTAAGTTTTCAGGGGCTTGCGAATCAGACTGACAAAAGACAGATTAGCAAGAAAAAGACAGATTTAATCACATACATACAGGAATTCACAGAAAAATGTGGCTCA